TCAGTTTGAATCAAATCAAATCAGTTCAAATCAAATTATATATTTGAATCAGTTCGAATTGTATCAAATTATATATTTGAATCCAATCAAATCAAATCAAAGTTCACTTATACAACAATAATAATGACAATTTATGATTTATTTTTTATCTAAATTAAAAAAAAAATTATCAAAAATATAAATAGAAAATGTTACAAGATGCTCGCCTATTAGTAATTGGTGGCCCAACTGGCAGTTTAAAGACATCAACTATAAAATATATATGTAGGGTTTGTATTCATGAATATCATAAGGGTGTCACACATGGTCACACACTATTAAAATCAAGTGATCAACTCATGTTTTTAAGGATTTTTTGCTATTTTAATAGTGTGTAACCCCCTTAATGATATTCATGATATTCATGAATAAAAACCCTGTATATATGTAAAAAAAGAAATTACCATATTGTTGATTGGACTGAATTTCTGAATAGTGAAGGTAATGAATAAATTAAGCTTTTCTTTATAACAACACTTTAAACTTAAATCCACACTTATCATTATTATTATTGTCATGATTTTTTTTTTAAAAAAAAAGTATTTGAATCACTTTATGAAAGCCTTTCAACATTTTTAATATATTTCAATAAAAGGATGGAAAATCAAGCACTCAAAAATGGTTGCACCAAACAAATATTGCTTTTCGATGATTTTTCAGACTTTATTAGTGATAGTTCAAATAAACTTCTTAATCAAATGATGGAAACTCATTTAGATCTTAAGGCTGTAAGATTTCCTATATGGTTGGCTCGGTCTAAAGACCTCCTATTGCTGCGCCATGCGGCCAAATTTCAAAATAGTGTCACCGATTAAATTCGGGAGAGCGTATTTTAATTTGTGATAACAATTATTTTTGATTTGTGTGGATCAGAATGAATAGGGGATCAATGAATTGATTTATTATTAGCGAATAATTTTGGGTAAAGAAGATAAAAGTTTATTTAAATAAAATATTGCTATTTTATTTATTTAGTTTTATTTAGTTGAAACTAATTAACTTGTAACAAAGTTACTTTTACATTAGGTCGAAATCAAGTTCTTTATATACATGTTCGTTTACATATTAGCCCGAATTGTGCAAATTCGCTCACTTTGTACTTGGGTGAATCCGCACATTTTGAGCGATTCTGCCCATTCCGGGAGAATTGTCATTAATCTCTACTAAATAAAGTTAAATAAATATGAACATGCTACAGATTGATTAATTACACAAAACGTAACACAAATTCAGATGATTATAAATAATTATACACGTTATTGATAAATAAAAATAGAAATAATAAAAATAAAAATAAATATTAGATTAAATAAAATAATAATAAAAATAGAAATAAAATTTAAATTGTCCCGGAATTAAGAGATTCGACCAAAAGATCTGTGTCAAAATCTAATTCCGGTAACAATTGTTTCTGTAACAATTGCACTTTTTCTACCACCATTTGATCAGATGTTCTGGAGAGAATGTTCAACTTGGTAGCTAATGAAGTATGGGCTCGATCTTGCTTTTGATGTAAATTTGGATTTTGTTGGATCCAAAATATATTGAATGACTCAACAGATCATTTCCAAAAGCTGGTACTTGACCAATATTCTGCAAATCGAAAAGTTATAAGCAGTTTATGACATTGTGCATGCTATAATTGAAAGCTTGCCTCCATAATAGAGATCAGATGGAATGAAAATTGTATTTTGTTTAACGTTGGATTCTGACATCTTAGAGAAAAAATGATTTGAGAAAGTAAAAAATTTCTAGAGTTATGAAATCTTAGAACTTTTGTTGCACAGCTCTATTAATGTCACACGACCTGCTGATTATCTGATTGATATATCAAGAATCTAAAAATAATTTCGTTCCACAGCCCCATTGATAATGAGCATAGTGAAAATTTTGAAAGGTTACACTAATTTTTTATATTGTGCAATGTAGCTTTACAATACACGCCGCCAAACATTCTGGCAATAAAAAGTAAGTGATAAACTGGATTTGAATCGGATCTGAACTTGATCTCCAATTTAGAGAGGTAACAACTATATACTGGAGAAGTTTCAGAAGCAACAAGTTCTACATAACGTTTCGTGTAACAACAAACTTCTACTATGCTTTGATAATGCAGATGGGGAATCAAAAATTATTCTAAGATACAGGTTTATCGATTACAGAAACAAAAAACTATTATTTATGTTTGAAGAGCTGTGACATCAATGTTACAATAAAATTACGCAAAATACATGTATCTCTGCCCTATCACTATATATATTATAAACATTGGTTTTGTTGCTTCTAGTTTAAAATTTGGGCAATCACACAATCAACATCATCTTGAGATAACTTTAGAATTGTTGTCATATTAAAAAGATACAATCCGATCTATCAGTTCCATACCACTATTACTATTAAAAAGTCTGAAAATTTTTTTATCTCTTTCTTTTCGTTTCCAAAGATTAGTTTATCTTGCGCAGAAATCTGCTCTCGAATTTTATTATTAACCAAAGCATGTGTTTTCTTGTAATGATCAAACCATAGATTAATACATTTCCCAAAATGATAGTAGCAACGAAGCACATCACAGGTAATTTTTTGATTATTTTCCTCGGCAAAGGTAATCTTATTATATAACTCAAGAAAATTAACTGAGTCTTTATCCATTTCGGGGATGTCTGACTGTAAAATAATAATATTATTATCTGAAGAAAATTGCTGGATGGTAGTAGTAGACAATTCCTTGATTAGCTTTTTCAAGGTAGGAGAATTATCCTTATTAACTGGTTTCTTAACTTTTTTTGCTGGTGGGTTTTTCGGTGGAATTATTAGCCCGCTTTTTACTATATACTAATATTGGGAGAATTGATTTGTCCGCATCCTCCATTTGCTCATCTTCTTGGATCACTTCTGAATTGGGATTACTCATCCTCCTAACTATTGATGAAGTACTTGACTGAGAATCTCGTCTAGAAGTATCTATAATAGCTTCAACGCTTTGATCGCACTTAGGAAAAGGACATATATTGGTAATTAAAAGATATTTCTCAATGCAAATTCTATGAAAGGCGTGGCCACATCGTAATATTGTAAAACCTTTAAGAGGGCGTAAAAAAAATTCTTTGTTGCATTCTGAACATTGCTTTAGTTCTGGAAATTCTTTATTCTCGACAGTATCTCCAATGGTTTTAGGATGTTATATGCGAAGTTTTTAAGGTTAGTAACAGAAATAATGGGAATATTTGCAAATAATGCACTTTCTCTGAAGATAAATCGTCACTGTTTTTTTGGTCCATGAATGAGGGGTAGCGGGTATATTTATATGTTTTTGTTGTAATTTATTAGACTACTTGATCAATGCATCACCTGGCCATGAAATAGTTTATTTTGTTAAAGATTGCATCATTGATCATGAATACATGATAGAATGCAGAGATTCTTCGCATCCAGTACTAATTTTGATGCTCCGAACGAATATATATGTATGTGATTGAGTTATGTGATTTTATAATATTACGACACCAGAATATCATCACACTGTAATGCTAATCTGTATTTCACAAAACTCGCTGTTACGTTTTCGTTTAAAAGCTTGTTTTTCTTTGCAGAGAATTGAATAGTGTGTTAAAAAACAATTCTCAAATTAAAATTGATGAATAATTTATTATTGTCATCACGGTGTATAGTGTGCACTAATAAATTAATATAAATCATGAAATTTCAAATTATTCTTTCTTGCAATATGCTTACAATAATGATAATTATTTATTCATCCCCGAGGATCAATAATTATTATAGCATTGTATGTATATTGCAATGATGCAAGAAAATATATTCTATATCCTTTTGTTCCACAGACATATGAATCCATTGAAACTGGGGCCATTGTTGCCACCAAATATCGTTGGCCTTGCTCCCAATAAGTTATTCATGAATTTATAATAACTACTATCTTTAAATTCTAATTCATCAAAACAATCTTGATCATTTATTTAAATTTGAATAATTAGTAATTATGATTAATTATTAAAACAAAACAATATTCCGAATAATATTTTCTGTAAAAAAGTAATTACTGAGTTTGATGTTAAAAAGAATTACAAATTTCAATCTAAATGTATTCAAATTAGTAAGGAGATTCTTGATGAGGATCCAATAGTTGATTATTGTCCTTCTTTTCTGAATGGATTGAAGTTAGATGCCTCTGGCAGGAGGAGATATACTAGATTCAACTAACCATTCATCTTAGGTAAGAAGGAATTTTTTTGTTGTCTCTTACAATAAATGTAGAAAAATTCAAATCAAAAATTATTACATCCAAAGTAATACATAAAAGTGATACGCAAAGTGCAAACAAATTTTTTGAATCAGTAGTACGTCAAAGTATTTTTTTTTCGAATCCTAGTATTGAAGTCAACAGCGTCACCAAAAGTCCATGTCAATAACGATCACTAAAAGTGTACTTTTTTTCGTCAACATTTTCGTGTCATCACTAATGCTCCACTATAATGGTCTCAAAAATGATGCCAAATTCATAAACCAATTGTAATCCAAATCGGGACCCAAAGTGGGAATCGAAGTCAAACTCAAATCAGCCATAACCTACACGATTAAAAGTATGACGCAAATGCAACTAATCATACGTCGAATGCGGATTCTTCCATAAACCCAGAAATGAAAAAAACAATTACGAATTCTTCAAGCCTAAAGTACGACGTAAATGCAAACTCGTCATACCTCAAAGTATGATGAAACTGCAAATCAATCGTACTATAAGTAGGTAGCAGTCTAGGAAAAAGCAACTTATTTGCTCTGCAGCCATTGGTAATATAGTCATTTCAAATCATTATGTCAATTTAGGTAGAATGTTTTAATGTAAAAAAAAAAAATCAATTATATTAATAATTAAAGAATAATTCTGCATGTGACCGTAAACAAATTTATTGTTAAGTTCGTTTATTCCTAGACATTTTTTTACTACTTCTACTACTATCAATAATAACACCAATACATTGTATAATCATCATAAATATTTTAATAATAGCAGAGGAAAAGTATCCGTATTCAAAGGGGGGATTAAAAAAGGTTAGTATTTTATTTATATTAATTTTATTAATTTTATACAGTAATTTATATTAAAAAAAAATCAGTGATTGTCATTAAATAAGCATTCTTATTCTTTGATCATTCTGATCTATTTTATATTTTCACTATTATTAATAATAATATTATTATTGTCAATATTAATATCTTCTTCACTTCCCTCTTCTATTTTTTTTTCTTTATTTATCAATGGAAATAATAATGAGGGTAATTAATTTAAAGTAAAATTATTTATAAATGACTAGTTATAAATTAATTTTTACAACA